AGATTTTAAATCCTCGCGGGGCTTTTGGATGCCAGCGAATTGCGTCGTGGATAACTTCTTAAACTCTCCAAACGAAGTAAAATTTCTAAGTGGGAGTCAATTGAACCAACCGAGGACTAAATCCCCTGGTGTGGTGTAAAATAATCGACACTTCAATGCATCAGAAACTTTGAGAAGGCATATAGCCAATTCAAAGAACATAATGTGATTGGTCAGATTGCTCCGACCCTTATATGGCTTTAAATATGGAACCTTAAACTTTTCAAGGGGCTCTACATCAATAGTCTATTGGAAGAATGCATTCTCCAGTCGACAGTAAAATTTCATTCACCCAGCTTGTGACATGTTCCTTGGAATGGAACCAGCACAGCCTTAGTACTTGGATTCTTCCACCATTTTGATTCTTGAGTCGTCTGATGGCCTTGAGATTTGGGTATTTAAGGATTAGGTTTGGGAAGAGCTCGTGTTTTCTCCTCAAGCAATACGTGGGTCAGCTCTGTCAACTAGCCCGCTATTCAATCTTTGAGTTTCTGAATTAGTTGTTGCACAAATTCTTGGATAGAATCCATAATAGAAGTTTCCCTCAAGTGTGTTCCTACTTGGTGATGCTCTCATCTTCTTGTTAAAGGCATGAATCAATTCTTGCGGAACATTTTAGGATGTTGAATCCCAAGATGTCTTCCGAGTTACGCCTAAGGGATATAGTGTTGTATAGATGAGAGGAAAGAGAAAGAAGAGATGATAGAGAGTAGAGTACACAGTAACAGAAGTTTTCTTGGAACAGATTCAATAGTCCTTTATGAAGAATGCCCTCTCTATTTATAGATTATAAATGATGCTTAGTAAATTACATGTTTGTTCCTGATTAAATAGTAACATTATACTTTATTCATGAACCATTACACCTTTACAGATTTATAACTTACCCTGGTATCTTTTGACTTTAGTAACTAGTGTTGGCATTGTTTCATATTTGTAACGCTATTGACATTATTTTGTATTCATACCTGATTAACTTGATCGCCTTATCATCGCTCGGTCGACTAAAAGTCCTTCCGTCGGCTTTCATGAAAGAACCCTTTTGTGGAGACTCTATTGTCGTTAGGAAGGTTTATTCTATCAGACAGAGGGTGAGTCATCAAAATTTGATGGGCAGTCTTCCTTCGAACGAGAGGTCTTCATAGAAGGTTTAAAAGGTGCTATGTGGAACGACTGTTGATCTTTTCTGTGAGTGACCCAAAATCAGTTGAGGGAGTCGATTTCATATAGCTGTCTCTGCTTCAGATGCACATCATTCCTTAGTTCAAATGTACTTTTGTTTGGTCAGACCATAATCAGACCGAATGAAATGTTGATTGATAGTTCAATTTTTTAACTGTGTTGATACAGTCATTTGGAATATTTTTTTTTGTGTGATCTGTTGAACTTCTATGAGATTCACACAGTCAGTTTATGTGTGTGTGTGTGTGTGTGTGTGTGTGTATCATGTACCTTGGCCTGTTGGATGACATTCTTGGTGACTTCTCAGGCCGGAGGTTTAAACCCCCTTTGGCACAGTTGGCCTTAAGGAGGCAATACCCGAATTGTTAGACACCTTAGGAATGACTGGAAGCTCATATAATATATATATATATATATATATATATATATTGGAAAAAAAATCATTCAATTTTTCATCTCATATGAATGCGTCACCTGAGTTCTTATCTGCGGATTACAAGATGCGAAGAGGTGGACTGTGTATGGCATCAAAAGGCGACATTTTTAAAACAAATTCAGAATATAATTTTTATATCAGAAAAAAAAACAGAAGGGATGAAAGACTTTACAATAGAAATTGGTGTGTTTAGATAGAATACATAATATTACAAATTTTTGGTGCTTTGTTTGTAAATCACCCTAAAAAATATAGGGGCAATTACATGCAAATCACCTGAAACTTGATATTTACAAATCTAATACCTTCTTTCATCCATTTTTCAAATTCTCAATTAAATATCAAAATTTCATTTTTATCAAATTCTCGATATTTTGATCGTGACGTGCATAAGCACATCAATTCGACAGTTCAAAATATCACTTGGAGAGTTAATTTGTCTCTCATTCTCAAAACATTTTAGGTAGTTGGGCTCAAACAATTAGGCTAATTTCACCTCCACATAAACTTTCATTGTTTTCTTGGGATCAAACTACATCTATTGGTATTGCAATAAGCAACGCAATGTTGTTTGGAGCTTTATGGAGGCTGAAATGTTGTGTCGTTGCCTTCTTGTAGTTGTTGGTTGGTCAAACTCCTCTCTAAGATATACATAATCCTCTTCAAATATCCCCTCATACTATGTGAGAATCTAGGAGCAATCTACGTATATGCCAAACCAATCCTCTAGGTTACATTTAAGCACAATCAACGTCCAACTTAACTATCACTTTGTTTGCCAAAAAGTCACCATTACTAATCAGATTGCTAATATTCTTATAAAGCCTCTTTTCAAATTATGATTCTAATTTCCTCAATTCAAGATTAGCATCTTCGACAAAAATCATTTTTTTTCTTCTTTTTTCTTTTTTTTTTTCACACAAACGTATGCACCCCAGATATGCAAGAACTTGAAACCATAATCTCTTAGTTGAATGATAAAGCTCTCAACCACTAGAACAATATGACCTGCATAACAATCGCCACTCCTTAAGGAGAAATTATTGCGTCGAGAGTTCGGACGCCGGCTGCATCCGGACATCGGGCGCAATACACTGATCGTGTGAGATTTTTTCTTCCTGGCAATCAGTGTATCATGTTCGTTGTCTGGACGCAGTTCTATGTCCGGACTCCGAACACATTAATTTTTCCTCCTTTAGGGTCTATATTAACAAATATCAAGTCAAGCTTCAAAAAATAATTCACGTCAATTTTAGATCTCTCAAGAACTTCCATCCTCTCCAAATATTGTTCTCTAGTTTCTATAATATTAACATTCTAATCATTAATCAATAGTTAGTTGATGTTTATTTAGTTATTATACATAGTATATGTAGTTATATTTTATTTAATTTTAAATAGTCATAACCCATAACATCTCATTCATTCACTTACATGTTATTGAAGTACAAAGAAAATAAAATTTATTTTGTTTTTCTAATTTCAATTGAGCTTTTTCCTCATCCACAAGGACAAGAACTTGTTGAATCGTTAAAGAAGGACATATTTTTGATGTACATCTCATTTGTTATTCCTGTCCTCTAATGATGATGAAGCTAATTCTTGGATTATATTAATGGGTGGTTTGGTTCTATATCATTGGTGTAAAATAAATCAAATACAAATGTTTTTAAAATCTAGCATTTGGCAGGATAAACATGCAATACAACGTAAAATTTTGGCGATTTTAAAATTTATCATCTTGTTCAAAATTGGTCTATTTTGACATCGCTAGATTTAGACGATTTTCGATACACTCCAGACTGCAATATGTTACTATTGTCAATTTTGTCAGTTTGTTGTAGCTGTATCAAGTTGTCACCACCTGCCACTACAATTGGTTGCAAGTTGTCGGCCGCCCATCATTGTCTCTACCAGCAGCCAGCCATCATCGTGTTCCTACCACCCATTACATATTGTAGGCGTCGAAGCCATCTTCATTGCCACTTCTATTGCCAAACATATTTTATTTCTTTTTTCAAACCAAACAAACATAAAAAAGAAAATTTTAACATTTATTTTACATCAAATTAAACAACTTTAAAAAATATTTCAAGTAAAGTACATCTGACTTACTCCTTTTATACATCATTCTTCTTTTAGCAATTCAAAAGCCTAATAGAAGCATATTGATGACCATATGAGAGGTGTGAGAAAGGAAAGTCATGACATATAAATCAATTTAAATTATTCATCTCCCAAATTTAAGAAATCCTTTATTTATTATAAAACAATGATAAATCAAAACTATATGGCTTTGTTTACGGTTTATTTAGCTTATTTATTAAATATTTTATCTCCAATGCAAAGTTGTAGGTTGAAGATCATGCACAAGCAAATGTATGCGTAAATAAGAAAATTACATGTCATTGTAGAATATAAAGTGAAAAATGAATTTTGACAAAATTTAAATCATATTCTCATTAAATTTAGCTAAATCAAACCCTAATTACACCTTGCAACTAATGGACTTCAAAAGTGCAAATGATTTTCAAGTCTTTCATTGATTATTTAAGAAATCAAAGCTCCTAAGGAAATCTTTTTTTTTTTTTTTTTTTTTTTTTTTTTTTTTGAGAAAATGTGAGGGCTACGCCCTGCTTTATTTAAAAAGAAAAAATGAGTTACAAAATGATGTCTCAAATTACAGCTGACACAACGAACAAATGAAAATAATAAATGTTTAACAAAAGAGAAAAAAACACAAACAATAATACGATAACCCAACAACGAAAATAGTCAAACAATAACTCCAACAACAACGACAATTGAAGAGCAGCAGCACGAAACAGCTACAAAGTAACACTCTAATCAACAACAATAAATCATCATAAAAAAGCAGCAGTCCATCAGAATAAGAAGCCCTGCATTTAAGTATTAAAATTCCATCTTTAAAATTTGAATATATAAGAGCATATTCAAAACATGTTTGAATTTTAATTATGATTGAAGTTCATCACAGATCATTCCAATCTTAGCATCTAACAAAAGTTACATAATAAAAGAACATTCACGACAATAAACAAAGATGAAGACAGAGCCATCAAAACGCTAGAGAAAATAGACAACCAAAACTCCATCAATATGAGAATAGAAATCCGACAACATTTAGGTAGAGCAAGATCTCAACAAGTAACATTGAAGATCAACAAAATAACAAAATCAAATACACAAAATCTTATGAATAGAAATTTTAAAAATTTATTATTATTTTGAAATGCATACAAGTAAGATCATACATTCGTTGAAATAAATATCAGGGCTTTAGATTCTTCATCCACTATATAAAAATTCACCCATGCAAAAATTTCCCCAATAAATTCACTGTTCTGATTGGAATCTTAAGCGAGAACTAGGGCTCTCTCAGCCTTGATCCAAGTCTAAACCAGAACTACCAATGGCATGCCTCTCCTCACCTTCCTGGAGCCCCTCATGTCCTCCTCTCCGCCGCAGTGCTTTCATACTCACTACAAATTCGTTACCAACCCTGTCTATCGCTTTCTCCAGAAGTCATCGTGGGCAGCTAGCCTTAGCAGCAGGGTCGAAGAGGTATTGGGGGACGGCGATGAGAGAACTGAATCTTGCGAAGATGGTTGAGAGGAAGGTGGCTGATGCAATGGAGGTTTGTAATGGGGAGGATGGCATGAGATCGGACGGCTGCCGTGTGGCTTGGGATGAGGTGGAGGAAGTGAGTAGTGCGCTGGCCGATCTCCGCCGCCGACTTGCTGATTCTCCTGTCGATCCTCTGGAGCCCCTTTGCCTGCAAAAACCCAACAGAGGAATGCCGCATCTACGAAGATTGATGGAGGATAGAAGCAGATTCGCTTCTCAGACGCTGCGGTAGCCCTGTAAAGTAATTGACAGATTTTTTTCCTTCCTTCCGTTAATTTTCGTCTACCTCGTTTGAGTTTTTTTGTGGAAATATTGATTGAAATGTGCGAGATTTGCGTTGATAAGCTATGTCGAACGGGCAAATATGGTTTTGCATGCTATATTAAGGAAGAAATTTCACTATTTTGTTTCCTTTTTTATAACTCTTAAAAGATGATAACTGTCTGGAGCAACTGAATGTTCTGTTGATATATTACTGGAGACATCAAATGGATTTGCAACACTGCAGTATTAGTGATCAAATATGAGGAAGAAACAAATTTGTTTATAGCTAATTATGCGAGCATGATATATTATTTCATGCGTGCGGTGAACATAACACATCACGAGTAAATTGGATTATCTCACATGGATTATTGTCTCATGTAAATAAAACTGAAACCATAACATAAACAATAGTAAATCATGTATTGAACACTCAAATTTTGGTCAGAAATTTCTTCTATGAACTATTTGTGCATAGATACACTGCTGATACCCAATCATAAAGAACATCACAATGAATCAAGATTTCCAAATATAAAAAAATAAAAAAAGTGAAAAAAAAATCAAATCCATGAAAGAAAACAAATTGGATGATTCAGATCGCCCTCGTTCTTTCGACTGAAATCAAAATCGTCTTCTAATTTTCGTAGAGGAAGGAGCAACACAAGAAATTTAAATAGCTAGCAGTGCAATCGTAGCAACAAGAGCAACATTCATTAATGGCGTCATCTTGAGGATCGTCAGTAGTCGACATCCTTTGAGTAGTTGGAGGATCCATCCTTATCAGTCTTCTCTTCTCTTCTAGTTCTTGGAGAAGGAGGAAGACGAAGAAACTATGAAGCAAAGAGAAGCAGGGGTAGAAGAAGGAGAAATCCAGGGAGGGAGAGGGCGAGAGAGACAAGGGGTACCTCTGGAATTGGCAGGTCGCGAACGCGGGACGTGGGTCTTTACCTGTGTCGAAGCCTATTAAGGATTTCACAGATGTGGACGCTATGCGGCACGAATAATTTGCACGAACGTGATTTCCAAACAGTGCGGCGGCGTTTTACAAGCTGCCCCAAACGTGCCCTAAAATTATCCGCTGACATGATCCTGTCTGGGCTTTTGTATAAAAAACTGTACTTAAGGCTTGAATTTAAGGAACTATGCTCTCAAACTTTTCAGAGCTAGCCTAGACTACTTATTAAGAATTCTACTTCAGCTTCACCTGGCAATTGCAAAATCTCTAGTTAAGACTTTCATAGATTCCAAAGGTTTTTATTTTAGGCCTAGCAAAATTCGGAGGCCGACATAGGTCCTACTTTAGAAATTGTATTCAGATCTATAAATTTATTTGTAAATACTTTGCCTATTGCCTTATATATTTTCAGCCAGAGATATCTTAGGCTCTTAAATTTTTGGAGTCATCAAACAAATTAACTAGATTAAGGTTTTGTTTCTTAGCTTAAAGCTACCGATGCATGCTGCTGAAATCCTTAGAACTGGCCAAGGCTCTGCTCTAATTGAAACCTTGGCGTCAACTTCATTAAGCTACTGTGCAACCTTCTGCGTGATGGTTACAGCTAAATAAAATGATAGAATTAAGATTCTGCTTTGTCAGCTTGGAGCTAAGATTCTTTGCCATCAAAACTCAGAGCAGGTTAGGGTGTTTAGTTAGATGCTGCAGATCTTAGATTGGCTAAGGTCTCAATTGTAATATTAAGTTTACGATCGAACTAGTGCCCTGAAGTTGATGTTTCATGTAGCTATAATCCTCAGAGTTAGTCTTGGCTTACTCTTAATGTTTTGATGAAAACATTTCTAATTAGTTAGCTCTTAAATTTAACCCAACTTTAGCCAAGATCTCAAACATAGATTGACAAAATCAATGTTCGTAATGTCATTTCAAGCAACATTTCTTGCTATCGAAATTTCTTGAATTTGCTCTATTATTAATTCACTCTTAATCATTTTATTTTTAAGGAAGCTTCTTGGGTTAGGTAGATCATGGTTGCTATCAAAATGTCTTCACTCCATAACTTAAGGCTTGCTTATAACTAGAGATTGATTAGTTAGCAAATCATAATAATTGAAATTATGGGACCTTAACAGGGTTAAGAGCTAACTTAAACCTTTTCCCCAAGTCTTCCAAACTGAGCCTAACGAGTTGCTTGATCGAGTTAGTTCTACTTAATGAGCGGTTTATTCCTATAGGAAGTCTCAATCCTAAATAAAACCTTAGGGGCTGGTATTGCTTTTGTTTTTTTTTAATTATTGTTTGTCTTTTTTTTTTTTGAAACAAAACATGTTTGAATTATTTGATCTGGGTTTGTTTGGGATCCCTTTTATTTTTGTCTTTGCTTTTATTTTTAAAAACACGTTTGTTTGATGAAATTTATATATATATATAATTTTAAATAAATCAATTTATTAAAAAAAAACTCAAAACTTTTTTAGGTGTTTTGATTATCTTACTAAACATGTATTTAAATACCAAACATGTTTTATTTCAAGTCATAACATAAACAAAATAAAATAAAACCAATAAAATTAAAAGTGATCCCAAACAACCTTTTAAGATATGATTGTTTAAAAAAAAAATGAAAAAACTCAAAATACATAAAAGTTATTTTTAGTGTTTTCAAAACATATTCATTTGTTTTTAGAAATTAAAAATTAATATATATTAAAAATAAACAAATATTTTCTTAAAAATAAAAGAAATAAATAAATATATATAAAAAAAACAAATGGATCTCAAACGAGCCCATAGTAAAAAAAATCTGATTAACTACATCTAATATACTTTTACAAATGGAAACACTTTTGAGCTTCTTAATATGTGACGAGCTTGAGATTTGTTTGTTCATTTATTAGCAATTCACAAAAATAAATTTATTTTCTTGATATTAACCTACATTGTTCTATGAAACTAAATTATCTCGCCACACTAGTTGAATTTATCATTTTGTAAAGCATTTTTTTGTTGTAAATTTCTACCAATTTTGTCCCCATTAATAACAAACGTCTAGGTGTGTGGCATGATTTAATTATCAGGCAGGAGCATAAAGATCTGGAGAAATAAAGATGAATATGAGGAAACATGATAGACTAAGGGTGCGTTTGGGAGAGCTTATTTACAGCGGCGGCGTTTTGAAAACGCCCCCGGCTATTTGGAAAAAAAACGTTATGAGGGCGTTTTTCTAAATGTCGTTCGCATCTTTCTATCAAAAATATCTAATACGTATACATTATCGTTTTGCTAAGAAAAGTACAACCTCTGCGTCACAGATTTTTTATTTAACAAAGAAAATCTGCAAATAAGTTGTTTGCAAAACGCACAAACCAAACAACTGCAGCTTATCCAGAACAGGGGCAGATTAATCATTTTTCCAGAATCATCTATTCTCTAAACGCACAAACCAAACAGACAGACAACTTATCCGGATAAGCTGCTTATCGATAAGCTGCAGCTGCCCCAAACGGACTCTAAGACTAGACAAAATAGCTTAGAATTTTGAAGTAATAAACCTTGTGTAGATGATGAGTGTGAGAAGGGGTTACCGGAAGAGATGGGTTATAACTCTAGACTTGGAAAAGAAAAAAACATGAACATTGATAGAATATAGGGGCATTAACATGCATAACTCCTAATTCCTATCTATTTGTGTAACACCTAAATTTCACTTTTTTTACATTTATAACACCCAAATATTTCATATTACATCAAAAATACCATCATCTTAACTTGTAAAAAATGAAATGCACCTTTTCATGTGCATATTAGGTGGCATTTATATAAAAATTGAAGTTTAGGTGTTAGATGTTTAAATATGTACATAAATTTTCCTCGAATATATAGTGGCGAAGATAAGATTATCCCTTAAATCATGCTATAAAATTAGTATATAATTGTCCTTGTTATAAGTTGTCTACTTATAAAAAAAATTTTAACTGGGATTTGAAAATTCATATTTTTTTCATGCTTAGTCATTGTAATTATTTCTTCTTCATAATAATATAAACTAATAAAACAACAACGACAAGTCTTTATCTCGCTAAGTGGGGTTGGCTACATGAATCCTTTTCTCTATTTCTTATCGAGTGTCATATTTTCATTTAATTCTAATAGATTAAGATTTTTTTATACAAAATGCCCTTCTTAACATAAGTTGAATCTAAACATCTACTCTCATAACTGGATCATTAAATGACCGACATTTAATGTGACAAAACCATCTAAGACAACTCCCTCTAATCTTGTTCACCACTTGAGCTATACCAACCCTATCACAAATATATTCATTTAGCATTTTGTCTCCAAGTGTCAAGCCACTCATCCACCTAAGCAGTCTCATCTTAGCAACACTTAACTTTGTCTTAGGCTTCTCTTTTAAATATCAAGATTCTGTGCCATAGAGCATTGCAAGTCTCACCACCATCTTATAAATTTTTCCTTTTAAGTCTAAGAGATACTTTTCAATCACACAATAGGCTGAGGCATTCCTCCATGTCAACAAACCAACGTGTATTCTACTAATAACATTCCAATCTATATCACCATCACTTTGAACAATAGACATGAGATATCTAAATTGTTACATCTTTTAATGATTCGATCACTCATAGTTACAACTTTGCCGCTAGAGCCATTGCTACTAAAATTACTTTCCATGTATTCAATTTTAGATCTACTCAAAAGAATGCCTTTAAACTCCAATTTAGATCTTCATAATTCAAGTTTTTCTTGAACTCTCTAGTCTTATTCATAAGAAGGATATCATTGGTCCGCCCCAACGATTCTCACAATAATGGAAGTCCTGGTAATAGCACTAGAAACTTGATCTGTTCCCTTGCAAATTGATTGGGTTCTTACAATTAAGTATTATTACTCACTGGAGTTTCTCACGCAAGTATGTGCATTGTTGCAGTAATATAAAACTCAATTGAGTCCGAATTGTCGATCCCACAAGGAAGTACATAACGAGTTCTTAAGGGGAAGTTCTAGTCTACTATGCTAAGGACTTAGTTTGGAATGCAAATTACAATGGTTTATCTAACAATTAATCCTAAACAATAGCACTAAATCTAAAGCTAATCTTAACTATATCAATTTATTTGGTGAATTTCAAGATATGAAAGCTACTTTTCTCTTGTGATTGCTTTAGTGGATTGCGGGATCGAATACCAAGAATTGTTAATATTGCTAGTGACAAATAGAAGCATATATCTTGTTTACCCTCTTTCGAGTATGTAAAGAAGTTTGGTTTAACTCGGTAAGTGTTTCTGCCTGACACCCTAGAAACCCTCAAGTCATACCCATCAAAAACCTATCTCTCTATCTATTTGCATTGTCCTATGGACTACTTTTCTTTCACCCATTAGTTCAATGTGATCTCTCTAGTTGTTCATGCCATAGCTCTT